CTAATTATGAGCCAGAATCTAGATTTAAGGTTTTAATTTCTACAACACAAACCTTGTATTAGCTACTTACAAATAGTTGTTAGAATATACTAATAACATGCTCAGAGTATAAGGAGACAGAGGAAGAGATTGAAAGGTCCAACATATTAACATCAATGGAAGATTTTGGTATATTGATCACATACTTCTAATTTAAAATTAATTCAACATTATTTAATGTCTGTTGGGTACCTATCTGACTTTTTAAGGAAAAAATTGGTAGGTTCAAATAACTGGGAGATATGATGCTCAAAATACAACACTGGTTCATTTTGTGTGGTCATGAGCTATAATGCATCCTTTCTGAAAAATTATTTCTTATATTAATTTTATTCTGGAAGCTGCTTTAATTTTTAGTTTCTTAAATACTTTTCAATTATATACCAATCACTGGAAACAGGGAATCAGAAATTGATATGTTTTCACGGTTGCAAAAAGTTAATGCAAATTGGTGGGACACCTATGAGTGAATCAATGGCCCTTCTATATCTGAACCTATTTTTATGACCAGGAGTTATAAAGGAGATTTCATTTCCTTGCATACTTCTCCAGATTATGTATCTACACTATACAGAGTTTTGGTTATTTCCTGTACATGGTACCAATCAGTCATAAGTAATCCTAAGAAATTCTACTTACATAATTTGATACAGGTAGTCCTTGCTTAGTGACTGCCTCATTCAGTGACAGTTCAAAGTTATGTTGAATAACTACAACCAATGCCCACATTTCAGTTTACATCTCAGTCACATGATCACCATTATCATCAATACGTGTTGTCCTGTGCCTGACTTTTTTCTCCCCCTTGCAGAGTGGAGAGATTGGGGAGGGAGGGATTATAAGATAGTCAGCAAGGACACAATGGGGAATTCACTGGGCTGCTTGCATAGCACGCTCAGGGCTGCTGGTGCCACTGCATAGCTTTAGATGTGTATCCTCCATTTTGTGCCTGCCTATTCTCTTGTAATCCCTTCCTCTCCAATGAATGTAAGTACAAACTTTAATTCCTTTCTTGCTAATTATCCCAGTGCCAGGCTGAACATTCCAAAGGGTAAGGGGAGTGTGGAAAATGAAAGCACAATCACGGTTACGATTACCTACTTAGCAACCGCTTTGCTTAACCAGAGTTACCAGTCCCAATTGTGGTTGCTAAGTGAGGACTACCTGTACTGTTCTTTTAATACAGCTGCATTTTCTGATGAATACAGAAAATGATGCACTGAAAGCTTTTAGGGAAATAATGTGAGGAAACTCCCATTGCAAGAAAGAGTGAAATTTCACAAAAGTATTATTTCACTTATTTTTTTTCAACCCATATGGCCTGCAATCAGTTTGGGCTGAGAAGAACGTAACTATTGTTAGGAAAGAATTTTTCATTCTGCTTGGATAAGCTAACAATGGGCAAGGATTTTTGCTTGTTTGCCTTCCTTGCCCAGGCATACTAGTTTTATTCGATAGAACTGTACATAGATTGTTAATTGTCACAATTCTGACATGAGTGCACTGTGAAGAGGAAGTGGTTAACTGCCATGTAAAACTACAGCGTACATATTCCCCAGTTTAGTTTGGCATAGATAAGTATTTCCAATGCAGGAGAGTCTCTTGTAAGAAGTTGATGGGTAGAGTGGGTATTTAGCCAATAATTGGGATGCAATTGCTGAAGATCCGATACTTATCCCAAATGTTTGTCCAAAACCAAGACTTTACCATTTAGAGATTACTCATCTTTGACCTAAGTATCCCAGAGGAAAAAAATGTAAGCCTGACAGGAGTTAACAGAGTTTCCTTTATTCTGACTTCAATTATTTGTTAAAGATAGAACTGGACAATGCGTGCAAACATTCTGCCTAGATTACATTCCAAAACAATGTCAGACTTCTTGCTTATTGCACTAGTGTAGCAAAGGAACTGAGTCACAAAAGTTAATAGCTTTCCCTTGCTACCAATACAATTCTGTCTTATCTCCAATTTAAGCTAATGTATAGAAACGTTCTACTGTATATAGAAGAACTAGAACACTACAAATCTAACAAGGTACCTTGTAGATAATGCCAAGTGGAAGGAACTCTGGTAACACCCGCCCCCCTCCCCCCCATCTATCATAACTAGAAGTAAACAAGCATGAAGTTGCAGGGCAGCATATGATAGAAGACTTTAAGAGCAGGGAAAATCCAAATTCTAAAAAAGTCAGTTAATGTTAAAAAAAATACTGTATTGTGATTTGTGTTATTTCAATATGATTGGAATTTCTGCTACACAAGTGCTTCCTTCTAGACAGCTACACATCCACTTGAGAATTTGTTGAAATGACAGCTCTAGATGATTCATTCATAGATGACTAGATTCAATGGTGAATATATTTTTTCCCAAAATATTAGCTCCTGAGGCCAAATATAATGTGTCTCATCCATGTACATTAGCACTTGCTCCTAAGAACACATGCTAAAACACAAATTTCATTTAGAACAACACATTAGAACTTGTGAGCCACCCAGAGTTTGGTACAAGATGGGCAGCTATATAAATGTTTTAAACAAATAAACTTCCAATGTAACAGGGACTGCATAAATTTTAAGCTATAATAAATATATATCTGACTGTATGCAATATATACAATCTTATTTAAAAATAGGATTGGAACCAAACAAAATGAAACATGTCAGCATGTTCTGTTTTTACTTGGTAAACAGGAGTGAAGGGGCAAATTGGAATGGGGACACAGGTAAGTAATTCCTTTGAAGTGTTGTTCATAGGCCTATTGTGTTTGACATACAGATTAATCCTCTTTTCTGAAACTTCTATTTAGTGACACAAGTCAGCAACTTCAGACGCATTCAACAATGATGCATTTTTCATACCTCACTCACACATGCACTGTGCAGTTCAAGCAAGATGAGTGCAATGTCTATCCCTACAACAATCTAATCTACATTTGCTTCCATCTTATTTAGTGTTATATTTTGCAATTTCCCGTTCCTACATGGCAGACTTTGGATGCCAAAAGTTCAGGTAGAAAATGTCTAGCAAAATTATAATAGTAGGTAATGTTGGTTTAAGAAAGACTGATGTAGCCTGGTTTTGATTTATAAGTGTCCTGAAAGAATTTAACAAAATGAATACATAATCTTAAGGAATCAAGTTCCCGCAAATTTAAATAGCTTTAATTACCTTGTTATGGCACTTGCAGAACAGCAGCTAGAGTTTTTTAAAAAAACTAATTTGGAATCAAGTTCCCGCAAATTTAAATAGCTTTAATTACCTTGTTATGGCACTTGCAGAACAGCAGCTAGAGTTTTTTAAAAAAACTAATTTTACTTATCATTAGCTTTTAGTTATTACATTATCCTAACTACTACTGAAGATTTCTTATGCTATGTACAAAGCAAAATTAACTTCAGTGGGAAAGCAACAAAGGTGGCTAACCTTTGTTCTATGAACAATGAACTATAGGCTTTAGCAGTCCAACCACAGCCTGAGAAATCAGTCTTACTGATTTCACTTTATTCAGTCTCCTCTAATTTTCATTAAACATCCCAAACAGAGAAATATTCATCACAGCCTGCCATATAGTAACTAAACCATGTTACCTTAAGAACAAAATTTTCCTAAATGATTTTCTTTCACAAAAAGATAACACATAGATAAATAGAGCAGATAAACGAAATGTAATATGTTTATATTTGCAGTGATAACTGGAATCATCATATGTATAGAAAGCACTGAATGCTTCTAACTGTTGGACTGCTTGGATGTGCTTTCCAGAAACCGTACAATTCCTCTTCCGTATCTAGGGATGGGTTCATGCATCGTTTTCACGCCTGAAGGAGTTATACCTAAAAAAATGCACTGCTGTCAATATATAAGCTACATTGCTTTACAGGGTCACACAGAACTTATACAAATTTAACTCACAAACACACACGCAATCCATACAGCCATCCATCAAGATTGAAAATAAGTATACATAGGAAATAAAGAGCAATCTCTATTTCATAGAACTTTACCAGATAAGGAATGGAATATTGTTTCAAAATGGGAAGATTAATGCAGAGATCTGGAATTAAAGCAATTATAAATACTAAGGTAGTAAAGTTACACTAAAATTGAGTTCAGCTCTTTGTGATGATATGGACACAACCATGCAATTTTCTTGCGAATGGCTTGCCACTGTCTTTTCCCAGAATGATTCCTGATTTCCTAATGTAGCCAACTGACCTGATATTGCCCAATCGTCTCCTATCCAAGTACTAACCAGGCCTCACCCTCTTAGTTTCCAAGCCCAGAAAAGGCTGGCTAGGTGCTGTCATGAAGCCAAAGCTAGTATAACCATGCTGGATAACTAAACTTCAAATAGGGTGATATTTAGGATTATTAGAAATTACTGTAACATTTTTTATTTATTCAAGAAGTAGCAAGCCTAACTGAGGAGCCAGTAACTACAGAATTGGTCAACAATATAAGACACTTATTTGTGATTGAGCATAGCCTATTCAGCTGATTTTGTGAAGCTGAGTATCTTGAGGTTGGCTTCTGACACCAAGAGGACCTTTTCCATGTTACTCCTACATTGGGAAGACCTATTCTAGCAAACTTGTTCATAAATCTGACAATGATGAAATGCACCCACCACATGTTCTTTTGCTAAGGGAGTTGTGATTATTTAATTGATGGCTGTTCCCACAGTGGAACACTTTTTTAAATGAATCCCTATTCATGAAAGCTGCTTAACCTTCCCAATCTAAATTTTCCCCCACTCTCAATTGCGTTGGTTTGCAACTTACAGAATTCTCTATCCAGAGATGTCATAATTTAAGGAGTGGAGGGAAGAAGATAGTTTGCCAGATTTCTCTGTGGAAAACAGGCTAACATCTGAAAACATAGCAATTATGGTAACCTCAAGAAATTAAGCAGGAAGCTAGTTACTTTATCTGTTACCTTTTGCTAGAAAAGTATCATTAGCTAGCTGTAGGAAGTTCAACTGCTTACATTTCCTTCCAAACAAAAAGGATAGACTAGAAATGCACAACCTGTACCTCCCCAAAGCCATTGGTCTGACCTCCCCAAAATTTGCAACCAAACTGCAAGATTTATTGTGATAAATGAGAATATACAGGAATTAATTATAATTTAATTTAATTACGTTTCAAGCTTAACAAAAAATAAATTAATTTTATGATTTCCCTTAACCTTGCCCAATTTGAGTGTGGCTGTAGTAGATCTGGACCCTTTCCAGTCAGGATTCAGGCCTGGACACGGGATAGAAACAGCACTGGTCGTACTCATGGATGATCTCTGGTGGGAGTGGGATGGGGGTAGTGCATCCATCCTTGCTCTTCTTGACCTCTTAGTGGCTTTCGATACCATCGACCATGGTATCCTTTTGGGCCGACTTAGGGAGTTGGGCGTGAGTGGCAGAGTTTTGTGCTAGTTCACTTCCTTCCTCCAAGATTGGTACCAACTGGGGTTGACTGGAAGTGAGAGGTCCCACCCATGGCCCCCCTGTTGTGGGGTACTGCAGGGTTTGGTACTCTTGCCGCTCCTGTTTAACATCTATATGAAACCACTGGGTGAAATCATCCACCACCATGGGATGAGGTATCATCAGTATGCAAATGATATCCAATTATACATCTCCATCCTGGGTGATTTGAGTGATGCTGTGACCACCCTTTCGTGGTGCCTGGAGGCTGTAGGGGTCTGGATAGGGAACAACAGGCTTCAGCTGAACCCTGGTAAGATGGAGTGGCTGTGGACTGGAGGCTCCTATGTACCTGGGGGTTTACCATCTTTGGTTCTTGATGGGGTTGCACTGCCCCAGGTAGACCTGGTGCATAATCTGGGGGTCCTCCTGGACTCACAACTCCTACTTGAGGAGCAGGTGGCAGTCGTGGCCAGGAAGGCCTTTGTGCAACTTCGTGTTGCACTCCAGTTATGCCCCTTCCTGGATCAGGAGTCCCTCTGGTCTGTCACTCATGTCCTGGTCATCTTTCGTTTAGACTACTGCAATGTGCTCTACATGGGGCTGCCCTTGAAGAGTATCTGGAAGCTATAGCTGGTTCAAAATGCATCCATGTGGGCAGTCATGGGTGCCCCAAGGAGGGCACATGTAACACCTTTGCTGCAGAAGCTGCATTGGGTTCCAGTTTGTTTCCAGGTCCAATTCAAGGTGTTGGTTATCGCCTTTAAAG